TGTGTGTGTGTGTGTGTGTGTGTGTGTGTGTGTGTGTGTGTGTGTGTGTGTGTGTGTGTGTGTGTGTGTGTGTGTGTGTGTGTATACACATACACACACATATATACATACACACACATATATACATACATAAACACAACACAACACACAGGCGCGCGCCGTTCAATGAAAATACCACTACGCGCGCACACACCCGCCCTGCCCTATCACCCACACGCCTACAATAACGTGTGTAGTAAGCCCAATGAGAATCAATCGGCCGGCACAAACGATCATGCAATCCGCCCATGCACATTCCTCCCTTAATGCCACGACAATCGCGCCAATTAAAACGGCCGCCAAGGGTTAATTTGCATGACAATTAGCATGTCGATTTCCCGCTGTCCATTATTATTAATTACTCTTATTCCGTTTCTTTTATCTCCTTTTTTTGTGTGTTTAACTGATCAGTTTTCAGTATTTTATCTTCCGTCTGCAGAATGCATATTACTTGTTTTCTTTTTTCCTTGTAAAATCATTTTAAAGATTTTATTATATTTAATGTACTTTTTTATTATTAATGGAAACAGAAAATGAAAAAGGGATAGTAGGAAAGACCCCGAAGGAGAAAGAAAATAGAGAAACAGGAGAGGAAATAATAACAACAGTGGGCGCACGAACGAAAACACAAGCAGACATGTGATCGCCCACAAACACACACATACACAGGGAAGCAACACACAGGTAAGTAAGCACGCACGCATGCACACACACACACACACACTCGTACACAACTACGCGCCTAAACACGCCCGCACGCACACCTACTAAATACAGCCAGTCCGGAAACGAGGGAGAAACAGCGAACAAATGAGAACAAGAGTTTGTAAAAATAGGTAAGAGAGAGAAGGTAGAAGGAAGAAGAGTCAATAAATAGAGAAGGGAAGAGGAGAGACAGTAGAGAAAGAGAGAGAACAAGAAAGAGCATAAACAGAAAAAAAAGAACGAAAACAAGGTCATGGGAGAGAGAATGAAGGAGAGGGAGAGAGGGAGAGGGAGAGGGAGAGGGAGAGGGAGAGGGAGGGGAAGGGAGGGAGAGGGAGGGGAAGGGAGGGAGGGAGGGAGGGAGGAAGGGAGGGGGTGGGGGAGGGAGGGAGGGAGAGGGAGGGAGAGAGGGAGGGAGGGAGAGAGGGAGGGAGAGGGAGAGGGAGAGGGAGAGGGAGAGGGAGAGGGAGAGGGAGAGGAGAGAGAGAGAGAGAGAGAGAGAGAGAGAGAGAGAGAGAGAGAGAGAGAGAGAGAGAGAGAGAGAGAGAGAGAGGGAGAGAGAGAGAGAGAGGAGAGAGAGAGAGAGAGAGAGAGAGAGAGAGAGAGAGAGAGAGAGAGAGAGAGAGAGAGAGAGAGAGAGAGAGAGGGAGAGAGGGAGAGAGGGAGAGAGGGAGAGAGGGAGAGAGAGAGAGGGAGAGAGGGAGAGAGGGAGAGAGAGAGAGAGAGAGAGAGAGAGAGAGAGAGAGAGAGAGAGAGAGAGAGAGAGAGAGAGAGAGAGAGAGAGAGAGAGAGAGAGAGAGAGAGAGAGAGAGAGAGAGAGAGAGAGAGGGAGGGAGGAAGAGTGGGAGAGAGGCGGGGAGAGGGGGAGGCAAAAAAAGAGGGGGGGACTATGACAGAGCTTTCTCAAGATAGATCTCGCGAGACCAGATAGGCGACGAACGTTGAGATCAAACGCGGCGCTCACGGAGAGGAGGGGGGGGAGGGGGGAGGAGGGTATGCAAGACGCCTTCCACCCACCCACCCACCTACCCACCCTCTTACCTTCCCCCCTCCCTGCCGGCCGTATTTATATCTTATTCATACTCAAGATACGACCCCTTTCATCTTCTCATTTCTTCGCCCGCCGCCATGACACAAAGGGCTTGCCGATTCCTCTCCTTGCTTGCTTCCTCCCTTCCTTCCTTCCTTCCTTCCTTCCCTCCTTCCTTTTCCTTCATTTCCTCCTTCCTCATTTTTCTTTCTTTCTTACCTTCTTCCTTCCTTCCCTCCCTCCTCATTTCCTTTTCCTTTTCCTCCTCCTTTCCTTCTTTCCTTGCTTCCTTCCTTCCTTCCTTCCTTCCTTTCCTCCTACTTTCCCTCCTTTATTTTTTTTCCCTTCCTTCCTTCCTTTCCTCCTACTTTCCCTCCTTTATTCTTATTTTTTTTCCTTCCTTCCTTCCTTTCCTCCTACTTTCCCTCCTTTATTTCTTTTTTTTCCTTCCTTCCTTCCTGTCTTCCTTCCATCCATCCATCCATCCATCCATCCATCCATCCATCCATCCATCCATCCATCCATCCATCCATCCATCCATCCCTCCATCCATCCATCCTTCCTTCCTTCCATCCTTCCGTCCAAACACCCACCCACCCACCCATCCCTTCTTCCATCCTTCCCTCCCTCCTTCCTTCCACTCTTCCTTCTATCCTTCCATCCTTCCCTCTCTTTCCTTCGCTCCCCCTGCGCCTTCCGCCTGCATGATCGAGGAGCAACGACGCTTCCCTCGCCATAACGTAAAACGGCGACGTGCTCGTGACGGCTGCGTTCGTATTTACGTTATTGCCTCGATCCATTCCCTTCCCACAATCTGCCGCACTGACGCACAATCGCGAAATACAAGGCAGATGGACGAGTACACGTCCTTCTTCCTCTCTCTCCGTCCCACACACACACTCTCTCTCTCTCTCTCTCTCTCTCTCTCTCTCTCTCTCTCTCTCTCTCTCTCTCTCTCTCTCTCTCTCTCTCTCTCTCTCTCCAGCTCTCTTTTCTTCCTCCCTCCTAACCTTCCGTTTTCCCTTCTCTTTCTGCGTCCCTCACACTGTCTCTTCCGCTCTCTTCCTTCCTGTCTTCCTTCCTGTCTGCCAGCCTGCCTGCCTGCCTGCCTGCCTGCCTGCCTGCCTGCCTGCCTGCCTGCCTGACTGCCTGCCTGCCTGACTGCCTGCCTGCCTCCCTGCCTCCCTCCCTGCCTGCCTGCCTGCCTGCCTGCCTGCCTGCCTGCCTGCCTGCCTGCCTGCCTGCCTACCTGCCTGCCTACCTACCTGCCTGCCTGCCTGCCTGCCTGCCTGCCTGCCTGCCTGCCTGCCTGCCTGCCTGCCTGCCTGCCTGCCTGCCTCCATGCTTGCTTGATTGCCTGCCTCCATGCTTGTTGCTTCCTCCACCCCTCCCTCATTCCCTCCCTTTGATCATAAATACCAAGAGAATGAGGCTGTTCTCACCTTTCAGAGTGAAGGCAAGTTTCCCTTAAGGCTCGGCAGATAGCGCAAAGTGGGGGGAGGATCGGAAAGCAAAACACTTAAGGCGAAACAGGTTTACGGTATTCTTTTCCCTTCTTCTCCACTCTTGTCTTATCTCTATCCCTTTCATTTCTCTTCAGCCATACACGTGCTTTTGTGCTTCATTTTCTTTCTGTAATTCCTTCTTATTTTACCTTCCCCCTCCCTCCCTCACTCAGCCACTCATTCCCTCAAAAAAGGTCACTCACTCTTTTTCTTTCTTTCTATCTATCATTCCTTCTCCGTCCCATCCCCCTCACCCATTCCCTCCTTCTCTCTAGAAACAAACGGATACTTAACCGAAACACCAGACTCCTCCCGCCCCCCATCCCACCCGCCCACCAACCATGCCCCGCCCCCCACGCCATCTCCCCCGTCTCCCTCGCAAACCGTTCCCTTCGCGTCCGGCCGCCGAGGTGCGAGCTCCACCCCCCCTCCCCAAAGCACCACCACCAACCCGTGACTACCCCCCTCCCCCACCGATGCAATTTCGCGCGCGTGTCTCTGGGATTCCGCCGTCCGGCCTCTTCGCAACGGTCCCTGATTGCAGACGATGGGATTCCAATGGGCTCTGTGCATACCCCGCACGGACGGCATGGAAGCTTTGCGGTAATTTGATCCCCACGCTACAGAGCTCCCTGTCGCGTAAGGGAGAGGGGTTTCGGCTCCCTTCGCCCGTCCCCGTCTCCCTGCCTCGCACTCCACGTCATGCAGGGCCGCGGAAGGCTCCTCGCGCCCTCCCATATAAGGGCGGACGGCGGTCACACCCACAGATAAAAGCCACATCCTTGACCTTGATGTGCCTTGAGTACCCCCGCCCTCAGCCCGTCACAACAACAGCGCTCGCTCTCTCGCCCACAGCTGCCCGCCCACAACATTTTACTCCCGCCGCATAACACTATCCCTTCTCACCTCACACGAAACAACACACTCAATCACCCTCTCGCCTCCTCATCCTTCACACTTCACAACATCTCACTCTCGCCAGGACATACAACAACAAGGCCCGCCATCCAACCCACTCGAAAACCATACCACAATAACCACTGCACCACGCCCTCGCCCCTCCCCTCCCCTCCCCTTCCTCCTCTATCTCGTCTCTTTCTCCCTCTCCCACACACCTCTAGGGACCCTAAAAAGACGAACTATTAGCTCCCCTTTTTACGCCCTATACTAAAGAACTCCCGAGTGCTCCTGGCGCTGCGAGTTCATTTCCGCGTTTCAGTTTACGATGTTTATTTCATCTAAGTTTCCCGCCCTGAATTTTCTCTTTTTTTTCATTTGCTGACGGCGGCGATGGAATTGAAACGAGGGTGAGGATCAGGCTGACGTTGACGGTATCATCATTAATATCACGATTCTCTTAATGACCATTACCCACATCATCACTACTGTATAGAAGAAAATAATCCAAGAATTACAAAACAAAGGAAACAAGCCCACGCACGCGCTACGGAACACATCTGTTTAAATTGTTAAGCCAGAGGCAGAACAGAAGCCAGCGGCTGGCCGGTTCATGCCTAAAGCTTGAAACATTTGATTGACACAAAGCTGCTTCCAGGAGGGATCCCGAAATGAGACTGTCTGGGCAAGTCGTTCCTGGAGGGAAAATCTTGATAGAAATCCCCCAAGGAAACGCACCTATCGTCTTTTGAAATGAAAAATACGCATATAACAAATTAACAAAAATAAATAAATCACAAATGAAAACCAAGAGCTCTCCTTACCAGCGTGTGAAGATGGCAGGTAACGACGTTGTACTCCTCACCAGCTAGCACCATCATCCGTCCCTCACCTGGAAAGAAAACAAATCGAATAAACAAAGATATCCAACGGTTGACACGCCCACAAAAATCTTAACTTACACAAACGCCAGTCACGTCCCGAAACATCCTACGGCAAAAACAAAAACAAAACAAAAACAAAGCACTAGCACTAACACTAGTCTTCGAGACTCTATGTATGTACAAGACGGTGTGTGTCTTTGTGTCCGGGAGCTTTGCCCAACCAACTTCCCATCTCCCTGGGCAATACGGTCGACTTCCCCCCCCACCCCCACCCCCATTTTTTTCTCTTTTTTTGTAATTTTGCTTCTGGTTTGCATGAGCGTCTAAACCCGTGCATGCGAGCGTTTTGGCGGTAAAGAATGGAGGAGAACTCTGACGGTGACAGCTGGGACCCTGCGGAGAGGAAAATGCGATTTGGGAGGAAGGAACATAAAATCAGCCGAGCAGAGAGTGCAGTGGGAGGGGGGGGGGGGGTAAGACGATGGGTGAAGAGGGGTGGAGGAATGGAGAAAGGGGGGAGCGTGAAAAGGGATGGACAAAGGGGGGGGGGTGAAGAGGGATGGACAAAGGGGGGAGTGGGAAGAGGGATGGACAAAGGGGGAGAGTGAAGAGGGAGAAAAGGATGGAGAAAGGGGGAGGGTGAAGAGGGATAGAAGGATAGAGGAAGGGGGAGGGTGAAGACAGAAAGGGTAAAGGGGGAAGGGGCGAGAGGAAGGACGGCGGCAGATGAACGCAAAAGCAGGGATCAAAATGCGAGAGACGACGATTGGAAAACAATCGTAAAAGAAAGAATGTTCCAAGGAGAGGGAGATGGCAAAAAAGACGAAGTCGAGGGGGACGTTGGTGGTAGTAATGGGGGAAGGGGAGGGGGAGGGGAGGGGAGGGGGAGGGGGAGGGGGAGGGGGAAGAAACAGGAAGAGGAAGAGAATGAGAAAGAGAAAGAGAAAGAGAAGAGAAGAGAAAGAGAAGAGAGAGAGGAGGAGGAGGAGGAGGAGGAGGAGGAGGAGGAGGAGGAGGAGGAGGAGGAGGAGGAGAAGGAGGAGGAGGAGGAGGACGAGGAGGAAGAAGAGAAGGAGAAGGAGGAGGCCGAGGAGGGGTAGGAAGAGGAGGAAGAGGATTGTGTATGAAAACAAATCCAGTAACAAATAAACTGATAACAACAACAGCACAACAATACTACTATAACATTACAATAACAACACCAACACCACCGACTGGAATTCCAACTCCGTAAGACATAAAAATAAAAGGGAAAGACTAAACGAAGCGAGCAAAGGCCCGCGGGCGCGTTAGGGGCAGGTCTCCCTCCCGAAACCGAGGGCCCGACACTATCCGCGTCAGTCTGGCTTGCATCAGTCGTTCCCTGGCCGAGTGGGGACGCGACTCTCCAGATGGCGGACTGCGCGGCGCTCTCTCCTCCTTCAATATCGGAATCGTAATGACACTTTTAAAATATGTAGGTCTGTGGAAGGCCGGGTGGCATTTCTTATCTAGCCGCGACGAAGAATTTGTTCTGTAATTTCGTAAAAGACTTGGCGCACCGCTGTTCTCAACCATTTCCATTTACCACTCAAATGCGATATTCAACCATAAAATCAACACAACCATAAAATCAACACAACCACAAAGTCGACACAACCATAATATCGACAATCAACCACAAACTCGACACTTAACCACAAAGTCGCCACTCAACCACAAACTCGACACTCATCCACGAAGTCCAACACTCAGCCAATGTATACCACCAGCGAGCAGTCTACCCATCAGGCTATCTACCCTTAACATGGGCTGTATCACCACCGCCACTTCCCGGCAACCCCCTCCCCCATCCCCCTCCCCCTCCCTCCTTCCCTCATTCTCTAACACATTTCCACTGAACTGAACACTCTTGTAGAGAAATCCTCAAACGTGAAATCTGGAAATCTTTTATAACTAACAATGTCTTTTTTCTCTCTCTCGTTCCCTCTGCCGGTTTCTTTTCAATAAATTTTCCTTATACTTCGTGTTTTTTCGCCTACATTTCTCTCTCTCTCTCTCTCTCTCTCTCTCTCTCTCTCTCTCTCTCTCTCTCTCTCTCTCTCTCTCTCTCTCTCTCTCTCTCTCTCTCTCTCTCTCTGTTTTTTCTTTCAGTTTTTCCTTTCCCTGTTTTACTCTTCTTCTTTTCATCCCCTTGTTCTTCTCTTTTTCTAACCTTCTCTCCCATAAACTTTTCACTAATTCCTTCCCCTCTTCTCCCTCCCTTTTCTCATTTTATTCATGCGTTCCTTCAGTCTTTTCAATTCCCCTTTCTTTTTCCATTCTTTCTCGCTCCCACTAACTCGTCCTCAACATGACGGCGTTTCTCCATAAAACCACATGCATCCACACTTTCATTACTTGGGAAACAAACCGGTGGTCGACACAATGTTACAACAGCTTTACACAAATACTTTACAGCAGATGTATAATGTTTGCCAAAAAAAAAAAAAAAAAAAAAAAAACTTTTTCCAAAGAAATACACAACAGGACTGATGTAAAGGAAATATAAATTTTGATTATGAATGTGTAAGGGGCTAAAAAGGTAAAAAAAAAAAAAAAGAGAGAGGAGAGAGAGGAGAGAGAGAGAGGAGAGAGAGAGAGGAGAGAGAGAGGAGAGAGAGAGAGAGGAGAGAGAGGAGAGAGAGAGGAGAGAGAGAGAGGAGAGAGAGGAGAGAGAGAGAGGAGAGAGAGAGGAGAGAGAGGAGAGAGAGAGAGGAGAGAGAGAGGAGAGAGAGAGAGAGAGAGAGAGAGAGAGAGAGGAGAGAGAGAGAGAGAGAGAGAGGAGAGAGAGAGAGAGAGAGAGAGAGAGAGAGAGAGAGAGAGAGAGAGAGAGAGAGAGAGAGGAGAGAGAGGAGAGAGAGAGAGAGAGAGAGAGAGAGAGAGAGAGAGAGAGAGAGAGAGAGAGAGAGAGAGAGAGAGAGAGAGAGAGAGAGAGAGAGAGAGAGAGAGGAGAGAGAGAGAGAGGAGAGAGAGAGAGAGGAGAGAGAGAGAGGAGAGAGAGAGAGAGAGAGAGAGAGAGAGAGAGAGAGAGAGAGAGAGAGAGAGAGAGAGAGAGAGAGAGAGAGAGAGAGAGAGAGAGAGAGAGAGAGAGAGAGAGAGAGAGAGAGAGACAGAGCATATAAAAGGAGGTTAACTATTTCATTTCTTTTGCACCCATGGAAAATAATAACAAAACAAGTAACAACGCAAGCTACCAATTTGCCTAATCGCCTGCCTAACCTGCACAAAACACAATCAATACAACTTCCTATCTATCACTCAAATCAACCACAACCCCCATCCCTTCCCTCCCTCCCCTAGCCTGGTCCCACCCCACACCGAAGACTCTACCCCTACTCTACTCTACCCTCCCATACCCCCCTCCCTCCCTCCCTGCACAACGAAACAGCTGTAACTCTGCAACTTGCAATCGTGCTACTCGTCCCTCAGGGCAATCTGTACACCCAGGCTTTAAAACAATCCATTTCGCTCACCTTTATTTTCCATGAACAAAACAGTTCTGTTCCCCTTTTTTACAGAGAACAGGTAATACCAACGACTAACTGTCTGCTGTGCATTCATACAATACGTATGTAAGTATGCGCTTTTACAAACACTACATTCATATAGCTATGGCTTTAATATCAGACTAAAAAGGAAACATATTTACATACACACATGTCTGTATGATTGTGCCTGTGCGTGCGTGTGTACGTGTATGTGACCGTGAGTTGGTATGTGAGTGTTAGTGACTGTGTATATAAGTATGAACGCGAGCGCATGTGTGGCTGAGTGTGCAAGCGTGACCCTCATCCAAAATCGCTCAATTGCCACGTCTTCCTTACAACTACAATAAAGCAAGACAAATTAAGAAAAAAACAGTACGGTCAACGCCTTCCAACAGCCGTCTTCCTCCGAACCCAATGGAAGAAAACTCCCAGGGACTTCCTGAGCCCCATAAAGGCCGTGCCCGCAGCCCAACGAACTCGCTGCCGGCCGGGCCATAAACATTTCCATTAAACAAGAGCTCTCCTTCGCCGCCGACTCGAGCGTTCCTCTGGCTGTATCCTATCCCTCTAGTATCCTAGGCTTTCTGTAGGTATAAGGCATTAGTGCCAGGCACGCAGAATAGACGTAGACTCAAATACACGAAATAACATAACACATACAGACAGATTGACTTAAAGACATTCATAATTCTGAACAGGCAGACAACTGCAAACATATACATTCACCCATACGTACGCATGTACAAATATCAACACACCCATAAAAAATATATACATAAAAAATTACATACATAACTAGATTCATACATGCAAGCAAATCAAGTAACATCTATCTATCTATCTATCTATCTATCTATCTATCTATGCATCTATCTATCTATCTATCTATCTACCTATGCATCTATCTATCTATCTATCTATCTATCTATCTATCTATCTATCTATCTATCTATCTATCTATCTATCTATCTATCTATCTATCTACATATATACTAAACAGACACATCCCTACGACCAAGACGTCAACCGTACACACAAAATCCATTCATCATCTCCCTCACACGCACGCGAGACCGAACAGCAAGCACTCACCGCCTGCGCTCGCGCCTGCTTGCCCCAGTTCACTGACTTCCGCGCACACGGCTGTTCACGCACGTCCGCAGCCACTTAGCGAATACTAACAAACCCAATTACGCACGGAAGCCCCGCTGATCTCTCGATTCCAGCCGTAACACGCCCTGGGCTCGACCGCGGCGCCACCGCCATGCGCCCTTCCGTCTGGTGCCCCGCGTGTTTGCATATCGCCAGGCCCGGCCAGCGCACGCCTGACTGCGTCGCTTCCTGCTTGCCAAGTCGTCGCTTCTGAATAAATCAGGTTTAGAAGAGTCGCCGTTTTAATAATAACAAAAAAAAACATGAACCGTGACGTGTAAAGGAACCACGAGTTCAATTCTTTCATTAGATTTAATCGCCCCATCACTTCAATGCTGTTCCGCCTG